TGGCCGGGAAGCCGGCTCCTTGCTGATTGGCTGGAAAGCCGGCTTCCTCGCCAATCAGCATCGAGCCAGTTTCCCGGTCAATCAGGTCATTACTTGCTACCCGACTTCCTGATTGACCAGGAATCAAGTTTCCCGGCCAATCACAATCAAGCAGGCCAAACAACATGGAGCCGGCTTCCGTGGCAATCAGGAACCTGGGCGGGATCTCATTACCCGCTGCCCGGCTTCCTGATTACCAGGGAAGCCGGCACCATGCCAGCGGAAGCACCGGTATTAGTATTCAGTGTCGGCGAGATCCGAAAGCAAAAAAATAAATCGGTACTCGATACCGAAAAACTGGTGCATCCTTAGTTTTGATTAAAACAATTTTTTTGCATTGGGACAAGTAGATTTGGCCCCCGCTTTAGCCCTTGGACAAGTAGTTTTTTTTTAAATTTCCACACCCCTGTACTTTTCTAGGTGAGACTCCTCATCCTCCCCCTAGCGCAGCACCGTCGGTTCTCGTGCCGAGCAGCCATTCAAAATATGCTGCCCGGCTCTGTGTGTCAGCTTGAGGTGGAGTGGGCTGGAAGTATGGCCTTAAGGGAGCTCCATCCATACATGTGCATTGCTTACAGCTCCCACATGTGCCCTGTAGAGGTGCCTGGACTGGACTAATGTCACATTGTGGCTCACGGTACAAACAATGCACATATGGATGGAGCTCCGTCACAGCACAGCAAGATTGTGACTGTGTGTGTCTGTCTGTGTTTTTGCGGGTCCGTTCACACTAGTACAGTGCATTAATAGCACTGTCCCATGCGATTAATGCACTGTACCATGCAAATCGCACCTACTGTGTGTTCTGGTGTGGAAGGTGCGTTGCCATTAATTTGAATGACACCCCAGACGCACCTCCCACCCAAAAATCCGATTGCCTGCACCCGAGAGCCTGGTACCATGTTTCCCCGAAAATAAGACCTACCCCGAAAGTAAGACCTAGCACTATTTTTCGAGATTCCTGTAATTCAAAACCTACCCCGAAAATAAGACCTAGTAGCATGTACTATAGCGCGCTGTCCACTGTCTGATGTCCCCACTGCTGCACCACTGGTACCGCTGTCCCTGGTGGTAAAGGAAGCTGTAGAAAGAAAGGCTGCGGCAGCGGAGGGAGCAGAGCCGCATTAGCTGCTACTTCGTCCATAGCGCGAGTTACTGTGACAGGTGGAGTGATACCAGATGCACTCCGCCTGTGAAAGAGCGGAATCTGCTTTACTGACCAGCAGGAAAATAATGAGAGCAACAGTATTATTCTCATTCTTACCATACCATTAAGGTCAGTAAATAAAAGACAGTGGACATTCTGAAGTGATTACCGTATTGGGCTGCTTTTACACTGATCCGCAGACATCCCCTTGGAAATAAGACCTAGTGTGTTTTTTGGGGCAAAAAAAAATATAAGACAGTGTCTTATTTTCGGGGAAACACGCTACTACAATGCGTGCGACTTAATGACCAAGGACAAATGTGGGTCCTGAGGTTACACAGGTTGAGAACCACTGCCTTATACCTTCCATTTCTATGTTATATTACAAACATGACTGAGGCCCTAGACAATTCTGCATGTGTTCTGGACGGGTCATGTTCCATGTTGGAATCACCTTTCCTGTCCTAACTGCGATTATTTCTGAGTGGAATATTCTTCTGTTAGTTTCTTTGTAACGCTTGAATAGAGCGAGGAAGGATTACGTCTTACATCCTGTCTGGTTTTTCATTGATGCTGAGCTCCCTGCTTTTCCCCACATCCTATACAAATGAACGCCGGGGCATTGCTGGGACATGGCCTCATTTTTCCCCTCTCTGTACTATATTTTCTTTAAAGTTGTATTAAACTCGCAAACTTGTTTTCAATACTGAATCCAGATCAAACAAAATATACATTGCCCAGCAAAGTATTTCTTAACATTTTCCCCGAAGCACACTTACAGTCATCATGTTTCCAAACAGCTCACTCTAGCGCGACTTCCCAGTACAAGATCACAAGAGACAGAGCAGAGCAACTGTTCATCTACTAGCTTGGAGGAGGGAAGAGGGATGAGCAGGGAGTGCCATGACCTTGCTGTGCCTGTGTGTTTGTGGAGACACAGCTTACTAGGACACACAAAGGTGGCTCTATAGGACTCTGCAAGCGAATGGAGCCACTCTAAAACAGGATATCAGGTCAGTGCTCAGGGGACTAGCTGATTCTGCAGGAAACAAACTTTTAAATATCAATTATCAGCATCTATTGTAAGTGATTTCATCAGCATTTGAAACAGCTGAAAAACGTTATGACTTTATTATCACTTTAAGGCCCCGTTCCCACTGCGCGATATGCAAATCGCGCGATTTGCATATTGCGCGACATCGCGAGATTTGCCGTGCGATGTCACGTTCAAGCTTGCATTGAGCAAGCTTGAATCGCGGCTAAATCCGCTCCAAAAAGGGTCCTGCTGTAGCGACACACGACCCGCGACAGCAGGACCCTTTGCCCCATTGGATTGCATTGGAGCGCGATATCGCGCGGTAATTTGCCGCGATATCGCGGGAATTACCGCGCGATAAATCGCTCAATGTGAGCGGGGTCTAAGCCGGCCACACTCTATAAAAATGGATTGTACAATCTCTGTAAATCTCCTTCAGGTTTCCCAAAGCTATATATTAGGGCGCAACTAAACAATACATTCAGTTTGCATGGAGTCAGGCAGGCCCCTGCAAGGATGGCAAGTCTAAAGAAGGGGTAGCCAACTCAGGGCCTCCAGCTCTGGTGGAACTACAAATCCCATGAGGCATTGCAGGATTCTCACAGCCACAGAAATGACTCCCGGAGAGAGATGCATCATGGCATTTGTAGTTTCACCACAGCTGGGAGGGCCGGAGTTTGGCTAGCCCTGGTCTAAAAGGAACTTGTACAATCAGATTGTATAGTGTAGGGGTGGACTAGGCCTGGGGGCAGGGTGGCAATTGCGTTACATACTGACCGCTGACCTCTGTACTGTGTACTGACCTCTGCACTGCGCGTCACAGTGCTGGCCTCTGCACTGCGCGTCACAGTGCTGGCCTCTGCACTGCGCGTCACAGTGTTCCTGTAGTGCTGGCTCAGGTTGTGAACCTGCACACAGACACCATGTAGCCATTCCAGAGACAAGGCAGTCTGCTGCAAAGGGAAGTTCTCCCCAGCATGAGAAGAGATACGGATTTAAAAAGGAAGAGCAGCAAAGAGAAGGGAAACTACCGTGGATTACAGTAAGGCACACATTACAGTATTGGTTTATGTTAAAAAATCTGAGGGTTTAATGTCACTTTAAGGCCGGTTCAGGGTGGGGGTTAGGTAGGGGTTAGTAGCTTAGGACTTTAAATTTTGAGCCCAGGGCTATACCATCTCCCTTTAGATCCACCATCAACTATGTAATGTATGGACCTGCTTGATCTGATACAAACTGAAGAGATTTTTTAGGTGTATCCCCCGAATACATAAGGAAGTCCCCAGAATCTAGCAATGAAATATATTTTAGTTGAGCTGTCCCATTTCTGAGAAGGGAAAATGCTATTTATTGATCACAAAGCTGAACTTCAGGAAGATATAGATTAAAAAAAACATTGATTCATGCAACTATTGTCAGAGTGTAAATGTGACTTGTTATCACCCTCTTAGAATGTACCCTGTGAAGCGGAACACATTTTGGGAAAAGCAGCACAACGAGCCAATTATGTATGCTGCAGTCCTGATGCACTAACATGGGGCACACTGATAGGAGGAGAGAGCAGAGTGACAGAGAGGTGAGCTCATCAGTCTGCTGTGCTGCATATAGAGGTCTCAGACAAAGGGAAGGAGAAGCAGCACAAGGAGCCAATCAGTTGTGCTGCAGAGCTAAAAGCGTGCTGACAGGTGGAGTGAGCAAAGTGACAGACAAATGACCTCATCAGTCTACTACTTCTCTTTCACTGTTCAGTCATAGGATAGGGGAAGGATAAACCTAGTTGTATTACTTGACCCTGTCAAGTCTCTAAAAATATAAACCCCAGCGCCAGCGTCCTAGCAACCAAGAACTTGGAGAGGGGGGGACACACAGACAAATGCCTCACTCACAACAAATGACTCCAAAATGACATTGGCAATCGGCACTTTTGCACTGAATTTATCGCAGACATTCAGACAAAATGTCAAAGTGTTGCCAATAAGAACGAGCTGACTTTGCTGCGAGTGTCTGTAATAGCGTTAGAACGGTTTCACTGCTTTTCTGGATTTAGAGCCGGTGTTCTACCGAAAACTCCAACTCCTCGAGATCTCCAACGACCCAACTTCCGGTTTAGTTAGAAGTAAGAGATTTGGCCGAGAAGGGTCTACTGCACGTGCGCCACCCACGGCATTTCCCGATACACATGCTACACAGCAATAAAGTATTAAAATGAACTAGGTTCAGACTAATCCAGCACGTTATTCATCTGTGTTGCCCCACTCAATATGTCCGCAAGCAGTGGCCATATGTCATCACATCTAATGCAGTCCATTCACCTGTATTAGACATGAGGACACCGAGGGACATACCATAATCAGGTGAGTATATCTTCTGTTTTACAGCCCCCAGACATAAACAAGCAGTTAACCCTTGCAGCGCAGGGGAGCCCCAATGCAAGAGTTAACTTTTTATAACACCGGAGTTCTTCTTTAGAGAGAAGAAAAGTCATCTCTTCGGCCTGGCTGTGATGTCTGGCAGGGCTGTGTACATCCCAGGAACACAGAGAACAGAGGACAGCTCTCAGATATGCATCTCATCTGTGTATTTGGCTGTTTGCTGGACTTCAGCTTTACTAAGCATCACCGATAATAAACTGGTAATGAGACATGGCCATCCCCTACACACACCTACAGGGAGCTCCAGTGCTGGGTACCACACAGCATGTTCTACCATCCTCCACATAACACACATCTACAGGAACAGTCCTCTGTATCCACACAACATGCGAATGCAGCATCTCACCTCATAAAGAAGGTCATAGCGACATTCGACACTCTTCCCTTCTCTAGAAGTCTTCCCAGAAATACTGCGAGGCTGCAAAATAAAAAGCCGTTCAGCCTATAGGGCTTACCAGAGAGCGGCCCTCACGGTCCGGTACCCCACCCCCCCCCGACACTCACCTTTGGGAGCTGCGCCTCTCAATGAATAATTAACCTGTTACTATAAATAAACAACTACCTCATATTGACAACGCTATATTGCTCACAGTCACAACCGAACCCTGCAGCTAGGCAAACCCCTCCTTCTTCCCCGGGTACACAAACGCTATCACACAAGCTACCGCCCACTACCGCCGATTGTTCTTCCTATTGGTAGATGGTGACGTCTGTCTGTGGGCACGCCCCCTTTAAGGGAATTTCCAACATTGCTTTGAGTTTGGTAGCGTCGCGCCAGGGGGAGGGGCGAGGCGTATAAAGACGCTAATTTGGTAACCGTTGATTGGGCGCGCCTGCTTCTATGGTGTATGTTGATTGGCCGTGAGAGCTGCTTGTCACTTTCTGGCTGTCACTAGTTTGTCATTGGGCTGAAACATTGAAGTGTCTGTGTACGTTTAATAGTGGAGAAGATGACAGTGTGTGTTATAAAGTCATCGTGCAGATGACAGTGTGTTATAATGTATAGATATTGTATAATTATAATGCAGACAGTGAAATATAGATGAATAATTATAGTGCAGACAGTGTGTTACATATTATATATTATAGTTATACTGCAGACATAGGTATATACTATATACTGTATATAGTTATACATAGTATACTGTAGATATATTATAGTCATAGTGCAGAAAGTGTTCCATATTTTAGATATATAGTTATACATAGAATATATTATAGTTATAATGAAGACAGTATAGTATACTTTAGATATATGATAGTTATAGTGAAGGCAGTGTTATATACCAGCATTTCTAACTATTTTTATTAATGGCACTTTTTAAAAATATGCAAATTCTCGAGGCACCCCAGTCTAAAATGTAAAATAATTTACTTTTCACATGAAAGCCCCCCTTTCACATCAGTGTACCCTCTTCACATCAGAGTCCCCCCTTTCATATCAGGGACCCCCTTTCACATCAGAGTACCCCCTTTCACATCTGGAGCCCAGCTTCACATTAGGAGCCTCCTTCACATCACAAGCCCCCTCTTCAAATTAGAGTCCCCCTTTTCAAATCAGAGTGTCACCCCTTTCACATCAGAGTTCCCCCTATATATCAGAGTCCACAGTCTCCCCTCCACACTAGAGGTCTAGCATCATATCAGGACACACACAGGCCCCCACAAATGCACTGCAGTATCTTGATCCATAAATAGCTTTGATTTTATTCCTGCCCTAATAAAAAGGACAGGAATAAAATCAATGCTATTTGTGGCTGATACTGCTGTGCACTTGTATGGGTCTGCATGCGTGCTTTATACATAAGATAAGGGAGACTGCTGCTACAAAACTGTTTTTTTCCAATTAATTCTACATTGTTTGAAGAGCTGCTGGTCTGAGGTCTGCCGTGCATTGCTGCTGGTCTGATGTCCATTGAGCATTGGTTCTGGTCTGAGGTCTACCATGCATTGCGTGTATTGGTGCTGGTCTGAGATCTGCCGTGCAGTGCTGCTGGTCTGAAGTCTGCCATGCATTGCATGTATTGGTGCTGGTCTGACGTGCAGTGCTGCTGGTTAGTGATGGGCTTGATGTTCGCGTCAAACAGCAGTGCAACTCGAACATCGACAGTTCGTGTGTTTGGCAAACACACGAACACACAAACACACCTGACCACAGGTCCGGTGCAAGACTTTACCCAATCACAGCACAGAGAACTGTGAGAGCCATGATTGGGCAAAGTCCAATCATGGCTCACACAGTTACAGTATTTCACAGAAGTATGTACACCCCTCACATTTTTGTAAATATTTTATTATATAATTTCATATGACGACACAGAAGAAATTACACTTTGTAAAGTATTGAGTGTACAGTAGAGCTTGTATATCAGTGTACATTTGCTGTCCCCTCAAAATAACTCAACACACAGCCATTAATGTCTAAACCGCTTGCAACAAAAGTGAGTACACCCCTAAGTGAAAATGTCCAAATTGGGCCCAATTAGCTATTTTCCCTCCCCGGTGTTATGTGACTCGTTAGTTTTACAAGTTCTCAGGTGTGAATGGGGAGCAGGTGTGTTAAATTTGGTGTTATCGCTCTCACTCTCTTATACTGGTCACTGGAAGTCCAACATGTCACTGGAAGTTCAACATGGCACCTCATGGCAAAGAACTCTCTGAGGATCTGAAAAAAAGAATTGTTGCTCTACATAAAGATGGCAGAGGCTATAAGAAGATTGCCAAGACCCTGAAACTGAACTGCAGCACGGTGGCCAAGACCATACAGCAGTTTAACAGGACAGGTTCCACTCAGAACAGGCCTCGCCATGGTCGACCAAAGAAGTTGAGTGCACGTGCTCAACGTCATATCCAGAGGTTGTCTTTGTGAAATAGACGTATGAGTGCTGCCAGCATTGCTGCAGAGGTTGAAGGGGTGGGGGGTCAGCCTGTCAGTGCTCAGACCATACGCTGCACACTGCATCAAATTGGTCTGCATGACTGTTGTCCCAGAAGGAAGCCTCTTCTAAAGATGATGCACAAGAAAGCCAGCAAACAGTTTGCTGAAGACAAGCAGACTAAGGACATGGATTACTGGAGCCATGTCCTGTGGTCTGATGAGACCAAGATAAACGTATTTGGTTCAGATGGTGTCAAGCGTGTGTGGCGGCAACCAGGTGAGGAGTACAAAGACAAGTGTGTCTTGCCTACAGTCAAGCATGGTGGTGGGAGTGTCATGGTCTGGGGCTGCATGAGTGCTGCCGGCACTGGGGAGCTACAGTTCATTGAGGGAACCATGAATGCCAGCATGTACTGTGACATACTGAAGCAGAGCATGATCCCCTGCCTTCGGAGACTGGGCTGCAGGGCAGTATTCCAACATGATAACGACCCCAAACACACCTCCAAGACGACCACTGCCTTGGTAAAGAAGCTGAGGGTAAAGGTGATAGACTGGCCAAGCATGTCTCCAGTAGGGATGGTCCGCTGGTTCGATTCAAACATGAGTTCGAATCGAACATTGGCCGTTCGAATCGAACATTGGCCGTTCGAGCGTTCGCCGAACGCCAAACTTTGTGGGATGTTTGCGGTGCGCAACGTCCCATACTGCAAAGAGCCCTCTGAAGCTCTAATTGGTTAAAGACTTGCATCTGACCACAGTCTGAATAGCGCCAATTATGTAGGACTACAAGTCCCAGCAATACATTATAGTGGGGTGGGGATGCTGGTAATATTCTGCAGTGCTGACTTTCATTATGATGTATATCTGGGACTTGTAGTCCCGCATAGCTGGTGGTATTCTGCATTGATGTATGATGATTATACAGCAATGCAGAATAGCTCCAACTATGTAGGACTACAAGTCTCAGCAATACATTATATTTTTAAGTAGGGATACACCAGTGCCAATACTGGGCATTTTCATGAGTACTCATACTCGTGAAAATGCCCCGATACTAAATGCAGTCGAATTTGCCGACCTCAGCATCTGCGCTTGTGCACCGACCAATATTTTGGAGGAAACCGCGATTTATTCACAAAGTATTTAGTTTAAATTGTTAATTGTGACCATTAATAATATTCCATTAGTCATTTACTGCCATGCATGGTATATTATTAACGGTCACAATTAACTATTACAAACGAATACTTTGTAAATAAATGCCGGTTTCCTCGTTAATCCCGTCTGTACGTAAGCGCAGATACTGGGTTGGCATTCTCGACAGGACACCGGCACTAAAATTTTAAACGAGGCTGACTGAGGTCCTGCGCTTTTTGGGGACCTCAGCAGCTTTCCTGTTAACCATGCGGTGCCATGGCGGTTGGGGAGGGGGCCTTCATGGTTCCTTGCACCGTGGCCCTGAAGGTTCTAGTTACGCCTCTGTTGAAATCCCATGACAGTCTGGCAGAAATCAGGATGATTTGGTGGTATGATTGCAACAAAGATCTGCGCTTATGGAAAGTGGACTATCAGTAGTAAGCCTAAAGCTGCTATGAGAAGTGGAAAAGGTGAGGTGTGGGTGTGGTCACAGCGCTAAAGGTCTAAATAAATGAAAAATAAATATAGATATATAAATATTAAATATATAAGGATATACAGTGAGAAACCACCCGGTGGAAAAGGTCTTCAGAGAGACCTAATGATATGAACGAAATATGACAGACAGATATGTCCGTTGAAACCTAAACATGTGCTGATGTGTAACCATGAAACTCCTATAAACTATATTCCCCAATAGGGTACCACGGTGAATAAATACAGTGTAACAGGGTTTGCAAACCACAAAGTTAAAAAATACAGAATAAAACGTGTAAAATTGACTAATAAATATAAGACCAATCACAAAAAATGTCTTATAGGTGCATCATATCGTGCAAATAACAAA